ATATATATATATATATATATATATATATATACATATATGTGTAAGTTATATGCTTCAACATGTGAGAACCTACAATTGAACGCTTCCAGTAGTGTGCCACGTCCTCCATGTTAGTGAGGGGGTTCAACAGGAAGTGGTCTCGCCACTCGTTCCAGTCGATTGTCATGTTACCGTCCTTATCCATACTGAACACAAAGAACATTAATTTACATGTTTAAATAAAAGATGCCGGCTCAGTTTTCTTCTCAACATGAAGAAATACTCTGAGTAACTGAAGGAGGGGCGCCTGGCTGCACTGGAAGTGCTACAGCTAGCTGCTGCTGCTAGTTACATTAGCAAATAAATATAGAAATGTATGTAAATAACTGTTATGTAAAACTGAAAGTGCTATGAAGGTTTATTTACCAACATTTTCAGGAATGACTATTCATTTTTTTTGTTAAGAATTGTTTTCAAGCAGCAGCAATCCACTTTGATCTCATCTGCACTCAAACTAGCCATCAGCTCATTGTTCCAGTCAGAATTAAACTGAACACAGGAACTAAACACTAAACACTACTTAACTAAACAAAAATCTATCTACAACAGGTAAGATATGAACTGTTCATGACCTCACGAAGCCTAAAAGTTTTGAACTATCCCTTTAAATTAGAAAGAGACTAGAACATTGTGTTTTCCGAAAAAATAAATAAATAAATAAGATAAAACCTAGCGTAAATGATGAGGCTGAAGAGGCTGAAACTGAGTTTTTAAAGCTAAAAGAAGCAGAACACTAGTTAAAAGCTAAAGTGAGTAAAACACTTGCTAAACATAATAAAAATCTAGCTAAATGTAGCAAATGGCTAACTAAAAGGTAGAAGTAGCAAAACAGTAGCTAGAAGCTAAAAGTAGCAAAGGGCCAGCAAAAAATAGTAAAAAGAACAATAAGCTAAAAATAGCTAAATGTTAGCTGAAAGCTAAAAGTAACAAAATGCTTGCTAAAACCTAAAAGTTACAAACGGTCAAAAGCAAAACATAGCAACACACTGACTCAAAGCAGCTGTACAAAACTAAAGCTAAAAGTAACAAAAGGGAAGCTAAAAGATAAAAAGTAGCATAGGAAAACAAAAATGGAAAAATTATCAAAGCTACAAAAACAAATTCATCTTCAGGACGAGCTGAACATTTTAATATATGGCTTGTTAAAATTCAATCCATAAGATAAATTGCATTTTTTATTTTATTTAAATAGATATATATATATATATATATATAAAAGGAGAACAACAGTGTGAATGCAGACGCAGCTTTCACACAATAGCATCTCTAAAACCAAAGGCTGGTGACACTGTTGCTATAAGACAGAAGCATTCAAAGCTCTCAGAAGCAGCTTTAAATGCCAAAGAAATAAAAATTAAATATATTTTATCTTCAGTAGAACTCAAAGCAACAAAGCTGCTGTCTAAAAGCGCTGACTGCGTTAACAGGGATACTCTTGTCCTGAAACAGAACTGTAGTGTGAAAACCAACCTTAGCAGAATCCTGTTGGCTTCCTCTAAGCTAATATTCACACCGATGGTGCGCAGGCAGTCTTGGATCTCTGCTGCATCTATTCGACCTGCAAACATCCAACAGCCACACACACACAGACAATACGACAAATATCTTTGTGCAGACGAACTTGATGAAATAACGGGCTCATTTATTATTCGGCGGACCCGTACCATCGTTGTTGCTGTCCAGATGGCGAAACATGAGTTTTAGTTCTTTTTCGTGGTTTTGGAGATACTGAATGAATTCCTCAAAGTCCAGCACTCCATCCTGGTTGGTGTCGCCGGCCTCCACAATCTGACAAACAAGGAGAGGCAGTGAAAAACCTGCGTTTAGCCTTTATTTATCTTTCAGTAAAATAAACTTCATCTGACTTATTTATTTTAATAAAAGCTTTAATTCCTTTAAGGAATGCATCTTTCATGTCAGACTTTTAGACTAAAATCATCTTGTGTTAATGACAAAACTGTGGCCATTTTGGCCAAAACCCCCCAAAAATAATGACAATTACGCGCAATATTGTGAGATATTATGCTTGAAGTACGTGTTGTGATTGACCCTCAGCTATTACTTAGCTTAATATCTATAAAATATAAAACACACACACACACACAGGCAAAAACATTTATACACTTATGAAAAGAGGCCAAGATTACAACAGAGATGAAGGCTGGCATTCTCAGCTTACAGGAGCTTCGACAAAAATAGACAACATGTTGCCCTCTACACACACACACACACACACACACACACACACACACACACACACACACACACACACTTGTACAGCCATAACTAATCTTATCCTATCATAAAGTCTTAAATTGATGAATGTGTTGGACCACGTAAAAAAAGATTTATTTAATGGATTCAGTTTTCAGGACAGCTTTTATTTCCTCCTAAATATGTGAAATAAAAAAACAGAAGAGGACTCAGACTGAGACACTTTCTATCCAAACCAACACTCATCAGACGGACTGAAAGGATCTACAGTCTGTTTTCACAAAGTAAAGCCGTGCTGCTCATGTTCTTGTCCGTTATACAAACAGTAAACATAAAGGTCCAAGGTCTAACAGAGGGGTGTGTGTGTGTGTGTGTGTGTGTGTGTGTGCGTGTGTGTGTGTGTGTGTCTATAGCTTTAAAAGAGTATCTCATAAACCGGTGGACGGATCTGAATGAAACTCTATGGGTGTAAATCTACAACATATTTACCTTTTGGACTAAAACCCATTCAAGATGTCCGCCACAGCTAAGCAGCCTTAGCAAACACAAACATGTCTCTAACTTCTAACATCACGCCCGACGGCACTGATAAGGTTTGACCCGACTGTCAGTTCTCATCATAAGAAGGTCTGAACTAAACGTTGATCGAGTTGTAACTGGACTGGAATGAACTGGACCAGTTTTCTGTTTTGTGTCCCGATATGACCACATGAATAAATTAACTGAACTGAATCAGTTATCGCTTCTTATAAGTAATATTTTGATTTTGTCTTGCTTTGCTCATACATTGTACACAATTCAGTTCAATTCAGTTTATTCCTATAGCTCCAAGTCACAACAGAAGTCGACTCAGAGCACTAACAGAAACATTCATTTATATAAATAACGTTAATGAGGTTAATTATCTGAGGAGCAGACTGCTTTGAATTTAACTCCATCGCAGACTCTCATCTTGAGCAAGCATGAAGGCGACAGTGGTAAGGAAAAACTCCCTCCCGATGAAGAAACCTTGAGCAGAACCAGGCTCAGGACAAGCGGCCATCTGCTTTGACCGGCTGGGTTTGAGAGGAACGGATACACAATGGCAGGTCGAGGATCATGTGTTAAGATAGAAATAATATCAAATGAAAACTATTCAATTTTAACAATTCATTTAAGGAAATTTGGTCAATTTGTCCTCCGTTAATCTAAGCTTAAGGCAGCATAACAAGCTAACCCTAACTATAGGATTTATCAAAAAGGAAAGTCTTAAAACTGGACCATGTGTCAGCCTCACGGACAGAAACTGGAAGTTGGTTCCACAAAAGAGGAGCCTGATAACTGGAAGATCTTCCTTCCATTCTGCTTTTGGAAACTCTAGGAACCACAAGTAAGCCTGCAGTCTGAGAAAGAAGTCCTCTGTTAGAAAAATATGGAACAATAAAGCGCTGTAATATAAGATGGAGCTAGGTTGTTGAGGGCTTTGTAGGTTAAGATTTTTAACTCAATTCTGGATTTGACAGGGAGCCAATGGAGAGAAGCTAAAACTGGAGAGATATGATCTCTCCCAGTAGCTCCAGTTAAGACTCTGGCAGCAGCATTTTGGATTAACTGAAGACTTTTTAAAGAAGTATTTGGACACCCAGATAAAAATAAAAATAAAGCCTCTATAAAATAAAATAGTTTAGTTTGGTGAGCGCCGACTGATTTTACTGCAGCTCTGTTCACTTTTATTTCCTTTTTTAACTTAATGATGTTCTCAAACGTGGACGTGGTAAAGATTTTTTTTTGTTTTTGCACTGTTAGACCAGACTCTAAAGCTTTCTAACATTTTAGTGCTTTAGTCTAAAACGATGAAAACATTTTCCGTATCACAAACTTTGCTGCTTTACAGCCAACAGCGGTGAGTATCTGAGGTGCTCTCACGTCTCACCCTCTCCAAGGAGCCCCTGGAGAGGCCTTGGGCCGCCAGCCCCGCCCGCAGCTCCAACATGTCAATGTGTCCATCTTTGTTGAGGTCCAGCTGATCGAAGAGCTCAGCCCAGTGCTTCTGTCTGTCCTGGTCCGGAACCGGAGCGTCGCTTTCCTGACACTGAGCCGGTGGAAACCAGGTCCGTCGTGGCGTCATGACTGGTCAGCTGATGGGACAAAGAGACACGGATTGTCCCAAAGATCATACAAATCTGCACACGAATGAAGCGAGCTTTTATAATGTGAAAAAGGTAAACAATGTTCTTGTTTGGTGCCTAAAAATACCCACAAGCTCTATTTATTTATTAATAATTTGGTTGGAAAGTCATAAAAAGTTAAAATGACTCAAACAAGCTACTTTTACCTGAACTTGTTGTGGTGCACTGAAAGCTCTTGCAGACAATTACCTGTTTTTATTTATTTTCCAGAGGTTTTTATTTAATTATTCTTTTGTGATCCGCTCCTGTTGCCTTTGTGCTACATTTCCTGTTCATATCAAAATGTTCTATTGTTATTAAAATAAATTATAAATTATTATTAAATTAAGGTGATGGTGCTTTGACTTTTGGTTTTTGAAAGTGTTATATTTGTCTTTAAGCCATCCTTTTACTTTTAGATAATGCTATGCATGTTTTAGCTGGTGTTTTGCTACTTTTAGCTAGAATTCTGCCACGTTTAGCATTTAGCTAGTGTGCTGTTTGTTTTAGCTTTATGCTTGTGTTCTGCTTGTTTTGGCTTATAGCTAAAATTCTTCTACTTTTAGATTTTAGCTAGTATTCTGCTTTTAGATTCTAGTTTGTGTACTGCTACTTTAAGCTTTGAGTTGATGTTCTGCACATTTTAGCCTTTAGCTAAAGTCCTATTTTTTAGCTTAGGCCTATAGCTAATGCTCTGCTACTTTTAGTTTTTACCTAGTGACCAGCTACATTTAGCTAGTGTTTTTACTTTTAGAGTTTAGCTTGCATTCTGCTACTGTTAGCTGATGTTCTGCTTGTTTAAGCTTGTAGCTAGAGTCCTTCTACATTTAGATTTTAGCTAGTGACCAACTACATTTAGCTGGTTTACTTTGAGTTTAGCTTGCATTTCGCTACTTTTAGCTAGTGTTCTGCTTGTTTTAGCTAGTCCTTATACTTTTAGCCTATATCTAGTGTTCGCTACTTTTAGATTTTAGCTAGTGACTAGCTACATTTAGCTAGTCCATCTACTTTTAGCTTATAGCCAATGTTCTGCTGCTTTTAGATTTTAGCTAGTGACAGCTAAATTTAGCAAGTCCTTTCTACTTTTAGCTTATAGCTAATGTTCTGCTATTTTTAGATTATAGTTAGTAATCATGCAGCTACATTTATCTCATGTTCTTCTACTTTTAGCTTATAGCTAGTGTTCTGCTACTTTTAGATTTTAGCTAGTGACCAGCTACATTTAGCTAGTCCTTCTACTTTTAGCTTATAGCTAATGTTCTGCTGCTTTCAGATGCTAGTGTCCGTGTAGCTACATTTAGCTCATGTTCTTTTAAGAGTTTAGCTTGCATTCTGCTGCTTTTAGATTTTAGCTAGTGACCAGCTACATTTAGCTAGTGTTCTTCTACTTTTAGCTGCTGTTCTGCTTGTTTTAGCTGACTGGTTTCAGCTCCTTCAGCTGATATCAGAGAATAAGCTTTTTTGTTGCAGAAATTCTACTCTTTGTTGTTTGACTCTTAATAAATTTGAAATCAGATTGAAGGTATATCTGTTGTTTGAATCCCACTGGTTTGATGAAAGCAGGGCAACTTTTATCACGTGGAAAAATACAACTCTTTCTGTGTACTTGTACTACCAGTGGTTGTAAATAAAGCAGGCTGGGTACATTTTGTTTGTAAAGCAGAAATGATAAAAGCAGGCAGCCTCCAGCAGCCAATAAAACTAATCTCGTGGCGCAGATTGCACCCTGATAATCTCATTTAATCTCGCACCGTTTCTGCAACGAGTCCACGTTTCACTCACGGTGTTTATCTGCGGACCGAGCCGCCCTCCATGTTCTGCAGAGGAGAAACCCAGCCGAACAGAACCCGTCCTACAACCAGAACCAAACGGACCGAGCGACTATAAACCTCCTCTCTGGATCCAGACCAGCGGCAGAACTGTCGGATTTCCTCCGAAGCAGGAAGCGACGGAACAGATGAGCAGCAGGAGCAGCCCCAGGAGCAGCAGGAGCAGCAGCAGGAGCAGCAGCAGCTGGTGGAGATCTGAGGAAGCAGTTCGGGTCCAAACAGCTGATCCTTCTTCTTCTACTCACTCCCGACATTAAAGACACATCCAGTAAAATAAAACCTGGACCTCTAAGGAGATTCCTGTTCGGTTTTATTCATGCAGACTGTAAATGTCTCGTTCTTTTGTTGTTGTTGTGTAAGGGCTGGACGACTCTCAGCTACTACCACATCAAACTGCTGATGTTGATCCTCTGAGGCGCCATCTTGACTTGAATTGACTAAAAGCTGATGATCAGCAGCTGGAGACATTATTATTATTATTAAATGATTATTTTCTGAATGCATCTTGGAAATCCAGACTGTTGGTTTGTGAGATTTTGCTGACAGTGTTCAGTAAGTCAATATAACAGAAACTTTTTTTAAAAGGCTTCTTGAACAGCCCATGATTCATTTGTGCAAGTTTCATTAAATTTGTCCAGGGGTTCATAAAGTATTTTATTAAACAAACACACAAATACAATAAAAAATGTAGCTTTTGTTTCCTGTTTGCTCATCAAACCGTCTCCTGTTTGGTTTTTCATTCTCGCTGCTGTGAAATTCAACGTGTGCAGAGTTTATTTCACACAAAGTTCTACAAGAACTTCCTCCTTGATTTAAATAATTGTTGTACAAAGTAGTCTTTTATGAGCTTTGAGGCAATTTGACCATTTTGAAATGTGCTCTCTAAAGCAGTGGTTCTCGAACTGGGGTCCCCGGACCCCCTGGGGTCCCTGGACCCCCCGGGGTCCGCAAGGCAATGCTTGGGGGTCCACAAATAAAAAAATTAAATAAATTACACCGGTATATATATTACGTAGATGACTGCCGTTATGATTCTGTTCAGTTTAATATAAACAGTTTTCTGTAATAATTTGAATACATATGTTCATTGTGTGAATAGGTAAAGTTTTAAAGTGGTTTTTGACACTGTTAATTTTATCAAAACTGTAATTGTTGGAAATTAAAATAAAAAAAATGTGTTAAGTGTCTTGAGTGGTGAAGGCTGCACAGAAGCCTGATGGAGTCAGCCTCCCCACCATCACAAAAAATATCTACACCTCCAGATACAGGAAGAGGGACACCTGCATCATGAAGGACCACACTCACCCAGCACACACACTTTTTGCCCCGCTCCACTCAGGCAGGAGATTAAGGAGCATTAAGTGAACCACTAGACTGAGGAACAGCTTCTACCCTGAGGCTGTTAAACTCATGAATCTCTAATCAGGATAATCACTGTGAAAAAAATCACATCATGTTGCTGCTGATCTGTTTCATGTTGCTGCTGATCTGTTTCATGTTGCTGCTGATCTGTTTCATGTTGCTGCTGATCTGTTTCATGTTGGTGTGTTCATTCGTACTCATCATGTTTGTGCTGCTGTTTGGTGTATTGTTTTTATACTATTAGTGCTTAGCGTATTTTTAGTTGCTGTTTTTCTTAGTTCATATCTTAGATCTTATTACTGTTTTATGTTACATTTTATAGTTGGATGTAACCGGGACCCTGTGTACATAATCACATTCCACCACATGCGGTGCGAATGACAATAAAGAAACTATGACTCTCTGAATAAAAAAATACCCCATGTTTAAACGTATAAAAATTATAACATTATTAAAGAACAGGTCTTAAGTATTTATGTTACACTAATATTTCCACTGCATTAAAGAGACAAATTGAAGAAAATTATTTAATAAACATGAGGGTTATGAGGGGGTCCCTGAAACTTTTTCTCCACAGTAAGGGGCCCATGAACCCAAAAAGTTTGAGAACCCATGATCTAAAGGGACTGCTGGGCATCAGAGGTCCCACTACGGGAGGCTCTTGACCAACCACAGCATGAAAAGGGCAATGAATCATGAATAAAAATGGGTACAAAAAAATTAAAAGATCTGAAACGGATGCAGATGGATCAAAACAAACTCTAAACAGCATCTATAACACATCTATAACACATCTATAACGCACAAAAAAACTGTTTAAAAGGAGGGAAGCTGACGCAGATGGGCAAAATCCACTACAGAGATACAGGATACATAAAATAAATTAAAAAATACTAATTGATTGTGGTTAAAATACACAAAATAATTAGGAAAAGAGAACTCAAATGGTAAAAATGAAATCTCAAAGAACTGAAGACAAACGTCAGGAGATCTAACTATGAAAAAGAAACCCTGCCATGCCAGCAAAGGACGATGCATTTCTCAGGTTCTGCCAACTCTTGACTGGATCTTTGCTTTTTGTTTGGAACTTGACTTCCAGACACTGTTCATCTGCAGGTGATGGGTTTATTTTAGGTCTGACACTTCTTCTTTTGGCCATTTTCCCCAAAAGTTGTTAAGCAAATCCTACAATCAGGATACAAGTACTGGACAGAAAATGAGTGAAAAAGCAACCGAAGTCTAAAATAAAACAACCTTGAACGACCTTCAGAAAGCAAGGAGTACAGATCAAGAACCCTTTTTAAAAAGTCAAACTTTTTGAAAGCAAAATACAAAAATAGGCTTTTTATAAAGATCTATACATATTGTTGACTCCAGTTATATAATCATTGTCGTGTCCTGTTTCAGGTATAAGTGTCCAGAGACGAGTGATGTAGCCCCTCCACCTGCTCCTCCATCATCACCTCCACATGCAGCTGCAGGTTTAGGCTTTCAGGACTGCCAGTGTACCCTGACCGAGCTCAAACAACGTCCTCTTTATCGGATTTTCTCTGAGTTTACACGGACTTGCTTTGCATCCCTCGCCGACAGGCCCACGTGTCCTGGGAACACGTACACATTTAAAAAAAGGCTGTTTAGCTGCAGATTGACAGGTGAGATAATGCACACAGGTGCTTATAAGAGCGGCACATTTTCACTTGGGAGGCGGACCGATACTAGTTGTCTCCGAAAGCAAAGAGCCAGCTCCGTTTCTTAACATCTGCTCTGTTGAAGTTTAAAAAAATGTGCAAAGGTCTTTCCTCCCTGCCTTCCTCCTGTCTGGAGAAGTAAGTAAATCCTGCTTTGTGTGAAAATCTACTTCCCTTTTCCACACAGAGAATTCAAAATGCTCTTGTTTCAGGGCGAAGGGGATGAGAGTGAAGCTCAGCCACCTGGCTGAGATCCACCACAAGCAAAAGTACCGAACTCTGAGATTTTAATGAACCGGAGGAACCAAACTGCATGTTCATCATTTCTGTTTCTTCTCAGGGTGCAAGATGGAAAAGTTCTCCAGGACCTCGAAGCTCTGCTAAACAACAAAAGTAAGACGTTTACTTCCTTCTTGCAACATTTTCAACTTCTGTTCTTTAGGTCTACAGCCCAAACAATGGAAGTTTTGGATGTAAGATCAATAAAAATCTTAAATATGAAAGGGAAACAACTTCACCTGCTGAAGTGATATTTTCCCAACATCTCAATGAAGATTAAATCAAACAACCTGTGTTTTATTCACCTATTTGGGTTCTGGTGAACATTATTAGTAGGGATGCACGATATTGGATTTTTGGCCGATAACCGATACCGATGTTAAATACAGATGCCAAAAAGAGGACTGAAAATGATGTAACACTTCAACTTATATTATGTTTAATGTCCAACTTATTCGTGGCGTTCACTCTCTCAAACACAATGACATCACTCGAACAGTGCAAATTTGTAAATTGTCACAAATCTAAACTCAACGTGTTCACAAGCGACAAGTGAAAAGTGCATAAGTAGTAGTGCATTTGGACTTCTTCCTCTCCGCTGTGATCAGAGCAGGTAGGAGCGCGTGACGTCATCACGTTGTGCTGGCGCTGCAGGCATCCTTGTCACTGGGTTGTCAACAAAACCAGCATCTTTTATATTGGTGAGGTATTTTGATGGAATGGCTGATATTTAACTTTATAACATCGGCTGATACCGATACCATGCCGATAATATCGTCCATCCCTAACTATTAATACTCCTGGGTATTGTAGTCTTGGTAGTTTTAAACAAACGCACCTGCACGACGTTGTTTTGTTCGTTTTGCTTCTTGTTCAAGGAGCTTGTTCAAATCAACTGAAAGTTGAAGCATTTAGATTGTAGCGGGACATTTTTGTTGTCGGTTAAAATGTTTTAGGTAATCATTTTATTAGTTTGAAACGTAACTGATGGGGGTGGCACGGTGGAGCAGTGGTAAGCGCTGTTGCCTCACAGCAATAATTTTGTTGCTTACACGGATGTCACAAATGAAGAAAATAGTGCATTTCTTGTTAATTAATTCCAGACACGTCTGGTGATGACGGCAAACTTAGCACATTATAGACTTTTTTCTCTTTGGCTTTTAACTCGGCTTGAAATGTTTTTTTTTTTTTACCGTTTTTAATTTATTTGTTTTATTGTTTTTACTGTTTGCTGTTTTATGATTAACAGTTCATTATTTTTATGGTTTCAGTTGATTTTATGGTTTTTATATTTGCATGTATGTACTGGTGTACAGCACTTTGGCCAGCAGTGTTTCTTTAAAGTGCTTTATAAATAAAGTTGTATTGTAATGAACTGGTCTAATGAACTGGTCTAATGAAGAAAATTTAGTCCATTAATGCTACGACACTGGATATTACAAAGGACCATGCACATAAAACCTAATTATTTAACGTAAATGATTAAAGTATGCACATTTCTGGTTATAGTTAGGGTTGTTGTTAGCAGCATCAAAGGGTGAGGCAGTGATATTTGGACAGGTATAATATTAAAGCCTGTTTTTAGTCCAGGAATTTTTTTTAAAAAGGGTACAGGAAAAAGCAGAAGTGTATTTCATTGACTCAAAGTAGTATTTTACATTATTACATTAAACCCTGATGATTAAAGTCAAAGCTTAAGTATAAAATTAGAGCCCAAAAGCTATCCATCAACCAGTACATAAAACTCGCTTATCCTTAAATTGGTTTTATGTATTTTATATTCTTCATGGACTTTATATTTCAGTTTATGTCTGTTGGTCTTTGCAGTTTGTTTGTACACAATTTTATCTGTTTCTTGCTGTAAAGTGTCATTGGGTGTCCTGAAAGGTGCTTCTTAAATAAAAGGATTATTACTATTATTATTATAAAGCTGGAATAAAACAATTTAGATGCATATATACATCCAGTATAAGTCTGTGACTGCAGCTAAAACTAAAACGGTTGAAAAAAATGCCTTAAAACAATAAAATGGAACGGCACAACTCCTAAAATATAAGTTCAGAAAAATTGTTTTCAGTTATTTTTTTCCTCCAGAAAATCCAAGATTCTATTGATTTTTCCAAAAGAACAAGAAAACATCCACAAATCAAAAAAAAAAAAAAAAATCATCTGTCACTTCACTGCAACAGTGTGATCACTAGTTTATCTTCCAAAAACATGTTTTTAGGAAGTAATCATCTGAAAAGTGACTGAAATGTTTTAGGTCCTAAATTTTAAATTAAATAAATACAAATATCCAGACAGCAGGTTTGAAATGTCAACAGGTTGAACTCATTTTAAAAGTATTTGGAAGATCTCTCACCCATCAGAGCTGCGTTGCTGACGTCCTCTGGTCTGGCTCGTATTTGTGCTCTCAGTTGGTCTTCAAGCGTTTCGAGGCTTCCTGCGCTCAGAGTTCAGCGAGGAGAACCTCGAGTTCTGGCTGGCCTGCGAGGACTACAGGGTTTCCTCTTCGAACCTGCAGAAGATCAAGGCCGGCAGCATCTACAGCCAGTTCATCAACCCTGACGCCCCGCTGGAGGTCGGTGCAGAAATGAAGAAACCTTCAGTAAATAAAGTTGCAGCGCTTGTTTTGATCGTCACATTTTCTCGCTGTAGGTGAACCTGGACGCCGAGACCCGCGAGGCTCTGCTGAGTGTCACGGACTCTCCGTGCGCAGACACTTTTGACGAAGCCCAGCAGAGGATCTACAGTCTGATGGCCAAAGATTCCTTCCCTCGGTTTCTGCGCTCTCATCACTGCGTGGAGGCCATCAAAGCTTTATAAACACTCTTGTTAGTAAAGGCCTGCTATGGAAACAAATACTAATTCATCTGCTCAGTTTGGCGTGTTCATTTGTATTTCAGGACTTAATTTAATATCGTTTAATCTTTTTAACAGTAAAATAGTCCTGGATTCATGTGTGGTCTACTGCATGTTTATTACAGGACAGTAACACAGATTTACGACACTTTATATTAATCACTCTGATCTGCTCAATTACAATTAACTGAAAATGTCACGTTGAACAGAATAAACCCTGAAAATGCATTTTTATCATTTAAAAAGGCAGCTTTAACATTTTTAACTAATTCAAAGTCAGTCAGTCCTGCTCAGTTTCTTTTAATGGTGTTAGTAAAATGTCAGTAGCAGCAGGTTGAGAGTGTTGCCATGGTAACACTCACGTCACTGATGCTCAGATTTAAAGTGAAGAAATCAAACACAGGAGAAATAATTGGGATTACGAACTAAAAACGCTACGAAGTTTCACAAAGCATTTTTAAAATATTTGTTCATATTAATTACAGTAATTGTTGTTTCAACCATAAACGTAAGAAATTCTCATGCTAAAGATGTTTAGTTCAGACTTTAAATAACTTCTACGGTGGCACAGTCGCGCAGTGGTTAGACCTGTCGCTTCACAGTGAGAAGGTCGCAGGATTGAATCTCGGCCTGCAACCTTCCTGGGTGGAGTTTGCATGTTCTCACTGTGCACATGTGGGTTTTCTCCGGTGTCCACCCACAGACCCAAACCCTGCACGTTAGGCTGATTGGTAACTCTACATTGTCCCTAGATGCGACTGAATGGTTGCTCGTCTCGTTTGTCTCCATGTGTCCCTGTGATGTGGAGACCTGTCCAGTGTCCCTCGTCTCTAACACAGTGACTGATGGAGATGGGCGACCCGGAAAGGAGGTGAAGCGGGTAAAGAAAGTGAATGGACGACACGATTTCTAGTCTACATCAAAATTACAATATAAATATAAAATTCTCAAAATAAGCTTTAATGTGAAAGCTCTGCAGTAAAATAAATAAATCAATCAACGTGTGCGCTGAATGAAAATTAGTCCCATTCATCAAAAATGAATAATTCCTTAAAAGACAAAAATACATCGTTCAGTGTGTAAATGATGGACAGACTTCTTTATTTTCTGCACTTCCAGGTAAGATTTTTCCCACGTTGACAAAATATGAAGTCAGTTTCATTAAAACAGTCATCTACAAAATCTGGAACAGTTATTATTTGTCATTGTCTTCTCAGGGGTGTCAAACTCACTTACAAAAGGGGGCCAAAATTAAAATCTTTTGTCAAACTAAGGGTCAATTTCAGAAACGACATTAACTCAAATCAGATACCGAACATATATTCTTGGTCACAGTTCCTCAACAAGTTTGATTGGTCTCATTTGATCTTCTCTGTTGTGCTTTCAACACCATAATCAAAGATTACTGAAAAAAATTCAAAGGATAAAAGTATTTTACGTTTCACATATCATCTTGGGGGCCAGAGAAGATGTCAACGAGGGCCACATTTGGCCCCCGGGCCTTGAGTTTGACACGTGTGCTTTAAATAATCTCATTTTATGTTAGAATTCAAGTAGGACCCTGAAGGTTTCTCACAGTCAGACTGGGAAAAATATAATTTACAAAGATGGTTTATACAAGAAAAATTCTTATATTTGCCCAGTTCCTTCTTGACTTTATTTACTTTGATAATTCTCATAAAACTGACAGGATGACGCAATCATATTCAAGCTGAAATGACAAACTGACATGTCATATCAAAATGTGGCAACTAGGATCAACTTCATCTTCGTACTAATTAGATATTCTTGTTCTGACCTCGGTGGAGGTTCATGTAATGTCCATAACAGTTAGTTACAACCTGGTTAGGTTATGGTTTGCAGTCGATGCTGTGGTAACTGGTCCTATTTAGAGCTGGTTCCAGGACGAGCAGCTCCTGGGTTTCCTTTCCTCTCTGCTCCTTTGACCACAGACAGCGGCTTATGGAGAGAGGAGCTGGCCTTTTGGGTCACCTCCTGCTCAATCTTGTTCCTGATTGCAACATCAAGACCCTTTGGGGAACAACAAAGTTAAGAGTTTTAATAAACTAGTCAGACTCACCGATAAAGTCCTCTGAATATATACAACAAGTCAAAACAAACTACCGGTGCATATTGAACACGTCATTTTAAACCTCACCTTTTTGAGCTTCTGCTGCTGAACCACTTTAGCTTTTTTGGGTGCGATGATCCTTCCTTTACAAAATAAAAACAAGATTATAATAAAGCATCGACACAGGCAGTCCGAACTGTGACAAGACAATGTTTTAATAAAATCACTTTTTTAAAATTTTATTTCATTTAACATTTATTTCACCAGGAAAATCCCACTGAGATTAAAATAATAGTAATAACAGTAATAGCTTCTCATCTAAAATTGAGTTTTTCTCACTGGTGGCAGCAAGAAATGTCTCCAACACTAAAAAATAAAGTTCAACTTTAGCACCAGTAAGTGTATAATACCTAAGCTCAAGTACATGCTACATTTTAAAGTTAATGTAAATTAAACAGCTGCAAAATTTTACTATTAAGACTGCGATCACAGGCTAACTTCAACTTTAGAACCAAAATGAACTTTATTAGTTGTAAACAAGACAACGTGCTTAGATTTAGACACGTTTGGGCTGAGAAGTGTGAAATGACTCGATATCAACTGTATTTTTTTTACCATATTTTTTTTAATGGTATAACATTATACGTTTACCTCCCTTCTTTGGTCCTTTCTGTTTGTTTTGTTGGGGTTTTTTGTTGCCTCCAGGACGCTGAGCATTAAATTTCTTCTTTCCTTGCGCCATTTTGAACTGAACGTTCTTCTTCGTTTTGTGGCGGCGGTTAATAAACCAACTGCTCTGCGCCTTACCGCCCCCTGCTGGACAAGACTGGAACCAGGACGTTGATTAGAGCGATGGCTGGCTGGCTCATACAGTTATCCACCTTATTCCGGATTTGGCGCCACTACCCATAATTCATAGCGGAAGCCGGTTGTTTACTTCCGCCCGCGATCCCGCGCTGTTGTTTACGTTTGTGGGTTAACACACTTGCTAGCAATTTAATGTTTTTGACACAAAAGTTTCCTTTACCTGAAGTAAATGGCAGCACATCAGAGGTGGATACATTGCAAGGATGTTTTAAAAAGCTGCGAAGATAAGTCGTTAACTGTGTCTCACCCATCATTTCTCACGGACTGGGTAGATGATATGAAATCATGGCCCGGAATTACCTACATCGATATTATTAATTACCTTGTTTTTTCTGAAGGCGTCGATGGCGAGGAATTGCGGAATTATAAAAGCACAGAGGCGTATAATTACCTCCACAGCAACAAAATAGATACAGTTTTGCTCAAGAAACAAGGCGACTTTATCTTTCTGAAAGCAGCTGTTGAGCCGAGCCAGAGCGTTGGTCAAGCTAAACACTTAGCATGGGTCATGCTCAGAGAAAGTGGAGTGGTAGAAACGGTCGGCTGTTCCTGTATCGCCGGATTGGGAAAATCATGCAGTCATGCGGCAGCTATTCTGTGGAAGGTATATCACTTATCTGGATATCAGAATATTTACATCACTGAATCAGAATCACTGAACTGGGCGAAAGCTGTGAGCTTCCTGTCTGCCTGTGTTTACATGTGGAAGCCAGAGCATTGTGCAGCCTGTGATCTACTGTCACAAAAAATTAAACATTAAAAAGGCTGTACAGTATTTTTATATTATTTGTTTTTAAAAAAGTACAGACTGGATGCAAGGCAACCTAACATTTACAGAAAAGGAAAAAATAAATGACAACAGCAGGGATGTAAATAACTTGTTTCATTTTATTAGGAGCAGTGATAGCTGAAGTCTGTTAAATTGTTACAGGTCCAGAATGCTGTGATCAGTGGAAAGACGGGGCTAGCATGTACAGATGAGCAGCGCAGGTGGAATGCTGGGACAGCAAAGAATCTTCAACCCAAACGTCTAAGCATGATAAACTTCAGACACCACAAGGCAGAGCAGCAGTATAACATCAACTCAAGGGCTGCAGTCACACAATCACTCCCAAACACGCCACATCATCATACACACCAAGACTTCAAAGACAGTGTTAGCAAAGCGCCAATGAAGCCACTGTTTCTCCTCAAGAACACATTAATTGGAAAGTGTTACAATGCCTCACCATCAGCAGAACCTCACTGCAACAGCACAATTGATCAGCAATTTTTTCTGCCACACCAAGCACACAGTGGTGATCTTAGCTGTAATCCATGCAGGGCATTCTATCTGGCATATATTCAAGTTTCTGAACAGCAAGCATCACAATTACAAGAAAAAACTAAAGAACAAAGTGCATCAGATTTGTGGCACAACTGTAGAAAAATCAGACTCACAGCAAGCACTGCAAAAAAAGTTCCAGTTCGTGCTACCACAAAAAATGACAAGTTTTTATCGGAGCACCTGTACCCCTCCTTTCGTGGTAATTATGACACAAACTACGGTAAAGAAAATGAGATCAGAGCTTGTGATCAACTGACAGAACAGGGTGTGAACATCATTCACGTGGGTACTGTTGTCAGCATCCAGGAGCCATGGCTCTCTGCTAGTCCTGATGGGGTCATTGATTCAGATGTGCTGCTAGAAATTAAATGTCCTGTACAAACCCATCCTTCGCTCACTGAGCAGCTTACCCAGAAGTGCAGCGACATCAAATTGGTAGATGGAGAGCTGCAGCTGCATAAAACAGGAAGCAGAGGCTATTACATGCAAGTGCAGCTTACAATGTTTTGCACACGTCTAAAGACTGCAACACTTGTGATCTGGACACCAAGTGAGCATGTTTCATTTACAGTGCAATATGATGAGGCATTTGTTAAAGAAAAAGTAGACCGCTTGAGAGGCTTTTACTTCTCATGTTTCTTGCCTCGGCTTGTAGAAGAGTATGTTGCAGGACGGTTTAAGTTAAATGACAGATACTTGAAGATAATGGGCAAGCTGTAATGTACATTGGCCCTTAAGGACAACTATGAATTTGACAGCCAGACATCAATATAGTCAGAGTTCAAGTCTGTGTTGTGAATGAAAGCAGACATTTAATAGAAAATTTGTTGAATATTTCACAAGTAAAATGTACAAAATTTAAACACATGCTGGGCAATTAATAACAAATTGAAGTTGATGACAAAGTAGTTATCTATTTTTTGCAATCTTCCAAGACAAGACAATATGTACATTGTTGTTTTGAGAAAATCATTTGTTGCCATTTGAAGAAACTGTTATATTGTGGTTGAATAAAAAAAAGAATCATTGTTCAGTTGATTGCATCATATGTACACTATTAAGTAAGCTTTTCAACAAAAACATTCATGATGTGGAGAATATATAAAATATATAAAAATATATAATAATATATAAAAAAGGGAAACCTAGAAATTATTTACTCCCTATCTAAAAAAGCTAAGTCTGGTCCTCTGAACATTCAAAAAAAGCAAAACAAACCAAAGCATTTTTTTGAATGTGTAGAGGACCGGACTTGGCTTTTTTAGATTTTTCTACCTGGATTTTTGAGTATGCATCAGGGTATTTCCTCCCTACATATCTGTACATTAAAATTATTCTGTGTCACGGATGAGATCCTTTCTCAAATTGACTAGAGCAGCACATATCCTCAAAATCTTGTCTATTTTAGGAGCCATGTTTATGGGAACAGTTTGAGATAAAATTTTGTAAACTTTCAGACGTCGGATTGCTCTTTCAACATGAATTCTAACATTTGCAATCCGACGCGTGCATGTTACCTGTTCCTCAGTTAGCTGTCCCTTTTTTTTTGTGAAAGCAGGAATTACTAATCTAACTTTTCTCTCAAAAAGCAACTCTTTTATTGTAAAACCTCTATCTGCCATGACTTCATCACCAGGTTTCAGGTAGTTTAATATTCCAGAGTCCATTGTGATAAATTTGTCACTACATCGACCGCCATATGCCGCAGACACAAACATGATTAGTCCACATGGTGCAACAGCTACCAAATATTTGACTGTGTTGTGTGAATAATAGTGGCTGTATGATTCACCTCTTGAGCCCAGATTTTTGGGTTTCTGCAACAGGCTCTCACTGCAGTCTATTATGCATGTAGTATTCGGAAAGTTCTTCTTGAAGGCTGCAGGCATAGTAGCTTGAATAGTTTCTTTTGCCAGCCACGGAATTAATGGTCGGAAATATTCCTCCAGTCTGTCTAACCAGTATGAAATGATCTTGCTAGCCATGCTCTGTGATATATTAAACTGGCGGCTTAGGTCACCCATTACACGATTAGTCTTTATTTTCATAAGTGTTATAAGGACTTGATCTTGTACAGGCATTGTAAATTCATTGTTGTCATCTCCTTCCAGTGCTGACACAAGAGTGTTAAATGTTTCTAACGCTATACCAGTGTACAGCAAAGCGTCTGCGTCATTTTGTAGAAGAAAAAATGCAACTTCATCACACTGAGTCGTCTTGTCCTGGACATCTTTTCTGCCAGACGTGTTGCAGTATTGATGATGATCTTTTAGCGAAGGGTCCTCCCACTGTGTGTGGACTGAGTGCAGATGTGGCCCAGGAGGTTGTGTGGAGACGCTAGCCAGGTCTGGGATGACTGACGGTGAATCTACGGTGCACTCTGAGTAACACAAAAATACAAAATCAAATCAGCGTAACACAACCTGTCAAGTGTCACTTACCTTATTACGTTTTAGGAAGGAAATTTGTAATTCCACACTCGTACACACATGATACATCTTAAATGTCAATAGTGCTGTTTTAGTGGGGCTTTAGCCCCCTTAAATTTTCCTAAGCCCCATCAAATTATGCTATAATATCAAAATATTGTGATTAGATTTTAGTTTTTCATCCTTAAAAAAATCAGTTGGAGCTAGGTTGCATTTAAGCTTTTTCTTTAAAGAGTTTAAAAGAAGTTTTTTTTTCAGCTGTGTCTGTTTCAAATAACCTGCCTCTAATAACTCAACATATTCTTTATTAACAAAATCCCCAGACTTTTACAGCCCTGGGGGGCTGAATTTTACCAGGTTGCTAAATAAAAAGCTATTCTCGGACAGTTACATGAAATCATATACATCTCTGCTAGCATGCTACTGATGTTAATTACTAACCACTTTGTCTTTAAGATTTGGATTTGGCTGCCAATCAAGTACTTTCTCTTAGTGATAAAGTATTTTGGAATTAAATTAATAATACACTAACATCCACAATAACACTGCAACCAGCTAGCGCTGATGCTAACACCATCCACAGTATAGTAATTATAACATTACAATTATAACATTAATAATAATATAATTCAGTAAAAGATAAGAGCTAAGCATGATTAAAATGTGAAGCGGGGACAAATCACATTTTCAATTTCACTCACCGGGAACAGATTCGGCCGTTTTGTCGATGTTGCTGGAAGCTGTCTGGCTCACAGTGGTCCGGATGAGCTGCCTTCTTTTCTTTGGTGGGGCCCGGTCATAGCCCAGATAGAGCTCCGGGTCGGGGTGAAGCTCTGTGGGCTTTTTATCAATAAAATGAAAGGAGCAAACATAAACTCTCTTCGGGGGGTATTTGAGTTTTAAAGCTGCCAGCCACGCTCGTTTTCGATCCTCCTTCCTCGGCATGGAGTGCAGTTCGTAACGCGCTGGGCACACACAGGCCTTTCGAAGTTGTTGATGTGCAAAACAATACGTTTCTAGCTCGTCTTTCAGTTTTCTGGAGCTGTTGTGACAGCCAACAACAGCACAAGTTGAACCCGAACTCATATTAGAATTGTTTAAGCCTCCTGCTACAGCACAAATTACTAGAATTTGTCATTAGCAAAAGT